CGCAAGCTGGCTGACTACGTAAGTGCCACGCACCGGGCCAGCCTGCACGGCCGTGCTGCGACCAGGGGAAGGGGGAGGGACGGGCCCTGCCTGCCGTAGTGGGGTTCTGCTTCCTCCTGCCTTGCAGCTGCCCCATGCCCAGGTCTCTGTCTGCAAGCACAGGTCCACTCCAAGGGTCTGAAGCTGGGGATCTACAGCGACGTCGGGAACAAGACGTGTGCTGGGTTCCCTGGCAGCTACAACCACTACGACCTGGATGCCCAGACATTTGCCTCCTGGGGTGTGGACCTGCTCAAGTTTGATGGCTGCAACTCTGGCTCGCTGGAGCTACTGGCAGAAGGTAGGCAGAGGCTTGAAGCAGACATTCCCATGGGGTGGGAATGTTCTGCAGGCAGCAGCAGCAGTTCTAGGCCCAGGGGCTCCAGGGAGTTGCTTTTCCCTCAGTGTATTCATTTAAGGGATTTGCTTACAAAAGCAAGTCCGATGCTTTGTTCGCAAGCCCGAAGTATTGCCGGCCCTAGTGTTTTTACTCACTCAGTCTCCTGGAGCTCTCCTTCACGCACAGCTTGGAAAAGCAGCTCTGGCACAGCAGGGTCTGCATCATGCTACGCACAGACTCATCAGCTGTGTGCTCATCAGCTGTGCAGGCTGCTGCCTCAGCTCTTAATACAGCAGCGTCTTTGCCCTGCTGCAGTGCCTTTACTGAAGAGCCCAAAACGTTTCACACACTTAATCCCTTTGGTGAGGCCATGTCAACAGCCTGAAGCCATAACAGCTTGTGTCAGCCATGGAAAGGGCAGTTATGAGGCCTTTTAACAGATAAAAATGAAAGGAATTATGGCATAAAAATCCTACTGGGGTTTTCATTTTAAAGCACACTGTAAATACTACTTCAGAAGTTATCTGCGTGTAGGTTGGCAAGTCAGCAACTGAAAGCTCAGTAGTCCCCTGTGCTGAGGGGGCTTGGCTAGAGACTCTTTGGAGGCACGGACAAATCCCAGTGCCACAGGAGCAGATTTGTGGGATGATCACCGTAACTCAGAAGGCATTTTTCTCTTGACTGAGCTCTTGCTGCTGGCACAGTCAGCACCACAGTGCTTGGCAGCAGGAGCCCTGCACAAAGTCCTGTCTCTGCCTGGCAGGGAGAACCTGCCCAAGTGACAATCCCATGGAAGACAGATGGTGGGGCATATGCCAACTGCCACAAAGAGGAGCACAGCTCAGCACCGTAAGTGACAGCTGAGCTGAAAGCTCCTGTTGGATCGTATGTGTAACCCAGATACAATCCAGTTGTATGGAAGCAGTTCCAGGGGAGCGCAGACTTTTCAGTCCCTCTCTGCCAATTAAAAGGGACTTAACAAGGCTATCTGGGGACAAGGACAGGAAAAACTAGTGCTTTTGCATTGCTGCACAGTCCATATGTCACAGATGCCTCATGAGAACATACTCTGCAACGTTACCCAGCAAAGCTGCACTGCCTGCTAGATACTGACTTGTGTTTCCCAGGTATCTAGAGGAAAAATGCCACACAGTAAAGCTTTGAACCTCTTCCCATGGCTGTGTGGACAAAGGGATCAGCAGTCTTGGAGTGATAAGCAGACTGTGAGCACCCTTGTCCTCCCTGTGGTGTCTCAGCCACAATGTGTTCAGCCTTGATTTTGCAAGAGTTGAACCGAAGCTGTGACATTGGATTAGTTCTGCTGTGTGACCAAGAGATTGTGTAACCCCTCTCTGTCCTCTTCCTTTAGGTTACAGGCGCATGTCTCTGGCCCTGAACAAGACTGGAAGGAGCATTGTGTACTCCTGTGAGTGGCCTTTCTACCTGAGGCCTGTGCAGCAGGTAAGAACTGTTTCTCAAGGCTTATCCTGGGGCTGAAAGTGGGAAGAACAAGCCTGCAAAACAGCATCCTGAGAAACTTGCTGCTCTCTGTTCTGACAGAGAACAAGACTGTGAGATGGAGGAAAAATATTTTTTCCTCTAGAGCCCTCTAGTGTACCTGAGGTAAGGAATTCAGTAGAATCCTGCAGCATCAAGGCCCAGCCCAGCTGGAGCATGCCAAAAACCACAGCAGCTTCCATCTGCTTTGTCTCCAAGGAACCAAGCAGCAAAACATTGGCAATGCTGACACACAGCCTAGCAGATAGCTCAGTTTTACTCCTCTTCCACACACAGTGCTGCAGACTTAGCCTCATAGGCAGCTCTGGGGACTATGAGAGGTTTTTTGACATTGTCCACACTGTTCACCAGTAGATTTCTGCCTGTGACCCACACACTGTCCTCCACCCACAGCTGCCTTCCTTGTGCCACTGTGACAGGGTGGTGCCATCCCCTCCCACTGGGAGTTAAATGTATTACTCACCAAAGGGAGTAAACCTAAGAAATGGCAGTAATTACTGGGATATTACAGTTGAATCCCACTGTCACACCTTCTGAAAAATTCAGCTGGAAGGAATTTTCTAACAGAGCTGGTGGCCATAGCTCTTCTCCCAAGGGAAGCAATAGTGTTGTCTGGAACACGGCAGACTGGAGTTACATCCTAGGGGATCAGCATGCACTAGATCATCCAGATAGCTGGTGATGGAAGGTTTTATCCTAGTTCTCCCCCAGATTACTCCAAACCTTGTTTACAGTCTTGTTCCTGTACAGCCAAGCACTCTGGCTAATCACAGTCATTGTTTTGGCAGCCCAATTACACAGAGATCAAACAGTACTGCAATCACTGGAGGAACTTCTATGATGTCTATGATTCCTGGAACAGCATCAAGAGTATCTTGGACTGGACAGCACTTCACCAGGACAGCATTGTGAAGATAGCTGGGCCAGGGGGCTGGAATGATCCTGACACGGCAAGTGCAGCACCACCCACCCCACATCAGCAAAAAATCCTTTTCTCACCTGTAGGCTGAGAAGGATGGGAACGAGAGAATTGGGGGAGAAACACTGAGGGGAAGGGTTCTGATGGGACCCTGGAATCGGGGTCTTGGGTCCCAGCTGGGAAGGGAAAGAACTGCAGCTCTGGATAGTACCAAGGAAGCATTGTCTTTGTGTACTGCAGCCTCCACAAGCAGTGGCAGTTCAGAACACGGGTGGCAGTGGGCGAGTGTCTCAGAAGTGCTGATGTCCCACCAGAGGGAAAATCCCTGTGTGTCAGCATTGCAAGGAATACCTGCATTCAAAGGCAGATTCTTAAACACTGTTTAGCCACGTAAGGAGCCTTCTTTACTTCCTCCAGTGGCTCATCCTAAATTGCCACACTAGTCATGCCATGCTCTTCCCAACCAGCTGGTCCTGCTCCTGGAACTCAGCCTATCTGGAGGGGTCCCACCCTCAGCATCCTGTCATTTCCCAGTGTTTGGGGTGATGGTGGCCCAGTTTTTCCTCAGCAGGCAGCATTACCAGGCATTTTTGTTTTCCTGTCATAGCTGGTGATTGGAAACTTCGGGCTGAGCTGGGATCAGGCTGTGACTCAGATGGCCATGTGGGCCATTATGGCAGCTCCTCTCTTCATGTCCAACGACCTGCGGCACATCAGTCCCGAGGCCAAGTGGCTGCTCCAGAACAAAGAGGTCATTGCCATCAACCAGGATCCACTGGGCAAGCAGGGATACCAGATCACCAAGGTACAGCAGTTCTGGGCTGGGAGTGCAGTGTGGGGCACAGGCAGTGTCCTGAGAAAGGGGACACAGGAGGTGGAGGGGGCTGCTCAGTGTATGGGAACAGGAGCTTGGTGAGTCTGTTTGCTCCTGAAGCCTGCTGCAAGAGGCATGAAGAGCATCACTTCAGCATCCCTGAACCTGAGCCCTGGCTTTATTTTCTCCTTGGCAGGACAAGAGCTTTGAGCTGTGGGAGCGGCCCCTGTCTGGCCGAGCCTATGCTGTGGCAGTGCTGAATCAGCAGGAGATTGGAGGACCCCGGAACTTCACCTTTTCTCTCACTTTCCTTGGCAATGGGTTGGCCTGCAACCCAGCCTGCTCCATCCAACAGGTCCTGCCAGCCAGCAGGGACTGTGGGATGTACAGCTGGACCTCTTCCCTGCGTGTGGAGGTGAACCCCACAGGCACTGTGCTGCTCAAAGTCGTGGCACTATAGGAGGCACAAAGACAATCTTTTCTTAAGCCTTAGATTCTATCTGAACTTCTGGCAGGAATTCTGTCTCCTGCCCCCAAGCAGGTGCCTTTGTTCTCTCCTCAGGCATTCATTACTTGAACCTTCAGCCTAATGTGACAAATACCCATCACTCCAAGAGGTAACAGGCAAAGGAGCACTGCTCTGTTGTTTACCTTTTCTCTAGCATCCCACTCAACTCCTTCTCTAGGGAGCAGAAAGGGCTCTCAGCAAGGCAGCAACTCCTGTTCATGCTGTCACTACCAAGCAAGGAAAGGCAAAGGATACACATGCAGTGTCTTACAGCTCACCTTGAGCATTTCAGGACAACAGGGATACACAGGCTGGCCACCTTGCTCCCACTTTTCCAGGCTGGGGCACAGAGTCCAAAAGCTGCTCTTAGCCTGCTGAAGACACCCAACACTTTTATTCAGAGCATGGACATGTCCTTCCACCTTCTGACAACTGAGGGACTTGCCTAAATCACTGCACTTAGCAACTTTCTTGCCAGCTGCCTGCTTATTATAAATGTGGTGAAGTATCATGCCTTAGGACTCAGCCTTTGAGTTTATCCTCATCACAGGCATCTTCCTCTCACCAGTGGCTGTCATTTCCCTTTTGATGAAAGCTTCCTCTCCAGCTGTCATGTGGCCACTGGAAGTCCCTTCTCCTGAGCTGCCTTCCAGAAATACCTGTGTGTTTGCTTCCCACTGCTGGCAGCAGCCTTTAGGTTGGATGACGCAGGTCTTTCTGAGACTGGAGGTGGTCAATAATCACTTGTGCAACCACCATGTACAAATATGTTCTCCTCTGACTGCTACACAATCAGGATTTATTCATTTGTTGTTTCTGTGATTAAACACTTTGATTAAAAGTCCCTTAAAAAGGCCAAGCGTTTTTGTACTTATACTGTACAGGAGGTACAGCACATTATCTTAAGTAAATCAGGTGTTGGCAAACAGTCCAGTTTGTTCCAGTCACTGAAGTTTTTGTGGACTTTGTCATGATTACTACAAACAGCACTCAGTGAGGCTGACATGTAGCCATAGTCCATCCCACATGCCACAGCCACTGTTGTCCGCTGAAGTTTGAAATGCCTTAGCAGCCACATCAGCATTGCATTCCCAGCACCTGCTGACAGCAGACTTCCTACTCACTGACAGCTGCTGCCTCATGGGGATGATCCCATCCTGGAGGCTGTCCTACAACCTTCCATGCTTCTGGTTGCTGCCTGTCAGTCTCTGCTCATCTGAAACTTCAATGCTGTGCTTGGACTCCTCCTTTCAAGGAAAATGCTAAGAGCCAACAGCAGACCAGGGGGGAGGCACCTGAGGCCTGTAATACCATGTGGAGTAACCAGGAGGTTCCTGGAGGACCCATGGGCATGGAGCTGTCCCCCCACCTCCCTGAGCTGCCATGGCACTCCACTTATGAGCTACAGCACCTAATTATCAAATCAGGCACCTGACTAAAGGTGCAGGTACCAAACCCACTAGCTGCTCCAAGGCCTCTGCTCCTAAAGGCAGTACATCTGTACCCTGCATGTGAAAAGGGCCCACAGCCAAGGGCAGGGGCTGTTCAGGGCAGTTCAGGTTACTCTGGTCCCCACAGTGGTGAAACCATTGTTGAGTAAAGCAAGTCTTAGGTCCCTCTCTCAGGCAAGGGCTTGGAGGGGGAAAAGCCCTGCTCAGGCACCTGTGCTGATGTTCTATCAATTACTGCTTCATGTACCAACAATTCAAACTCACCGCAGCATTCTTGAAATGAAACCACTGTAACAGAGATGTGAACAGCTTTGCGTGAAACAAGTGCAGTAGTTTAGAGCAGGCCCTTTTCACCTAACGTGAGAGCTCATAAACAAGCCTGGAGTAAAGCAGCAGCACAGCATTCACACACACAAGTCACTGGTGCAAATACCCATCAAAGCCATTCCAAAATACCTCTCAGTAACACAGGAAGGAGACCTCAGATATCAGCAAGGCTCTTTCAAAAGCCTTCAGGTTACAAATTTTCTTAGTAAGCAGTTCTGCAAGCAACACCTTCTGCTGTGATGTACTCCCAACTCCCACCTCACCAACACAACATGCACAGAAACAAGCAATGGATCACTCTAAATACTTTAATGTGGTCCGTGAGGATGAGCAGGACAATGCTCAGAACTGGATCACTTGGCCCTGGAAGAAGGAAGAGACAGAGTGAGTTTACTCACCACTGAGTATCACTACCCTTTCTCACCTCTCATCGTACACCAACCTTTCTCTTCTTGTCTCCTCCCAGTTCAAAGTGTTTGCATCTCTTAATTGCCAGCATTCTCTTGGACCTGCAGTTGGGCTCCACACACTCCAGCCTCAGCACAATCTTCTTGGTGGTCTTGGCCTGGGAGGAGGAGCAAAGTGTGTCAATGAACCAAACACCCCAAGCAGGCAATGCATCCCTCAGGAACAGCCTGTTACCTTCACTCCTGAACATACAGCAGCTTGTTCACAAAGTGTAAAGAGAGACACTACGAACAGAGCTAGGCTCCCTCCACTGAGAATAAGAAGGCACCTCAAGGATCAGGACAGGATAACAGTGGATCTGTATCCTCACAATAAAGGACAATGGGAGAAGCACTCAGTGAGGCAGGGCTGGTCCCTGCAGGGATCAGCCAGGCTGGAAAAGTCTGTGCCAGTGAAGGCACCGAGCAGCAAGCACTGCCATAGCGTGGGAGAACAGAGTGACTGCTCAGAAGTCCAGCAGAAAACTGGGCAGAAGAAACTCCTGGAAGCAGCACTGACACACTTTCCCTGAAAGGAGCAGTGACACAACGGGCTCAGTGCAGACCCACAGCTACTGAGGAGTCAGATGAAACCCAAAGGACTGCAGAGGGAAGAATCCAAAGCTATGAGGCTGATGAGGCTGCTGAGGCAGCTGGACAGGGCTGTAACCACCAGCTGAAAGCCTCAGTCAATCATACATACAATGCTGACTGGGAAAAAACAGGAATGGGGATGGCAATGTACAGAGGGAGAGTGCCAAACCATGAGAGCAATGCAGCTGCTTTGTGTCCCTGCTTGCAGAAGCATTTTCTGTGAGGTTTCCCCACTTTCTGGCAGAAAGTCAGCCTGAAAACCTGCTGCCTCATTTGTTTCTTCTTGCTGGAAGCCTTCCTGTCCATCTCCAGCAAAACACCAAGCGAGCCAAGCAGCTCTGTGGGCATACCTAAACAGTTCACTCAAAGTAACAAATCGACCCCATGGGTTTTGCTGTAAGTCAGTCCCAGAGGGTTTGCCCTCCCCTGGGTGCATGTGCACCTGGAGGCTCACAGATGCACTGGGACTGCAGTTCCAGGTACCCACACTGCAGACTCTGCAGCTCATGCAACAGGATGCACTGCTACTCTACTCTGAGACTCTCAGGAAAGCTCTAACACAGCAGTTCTCATTCCCTTGCTCAGTGATATGGATTTCCCTGGAGACAGTAGGCTGCAGGAAAATGTGTCCTGCAGTACCCCCAAGAGCTCACACACTTGGCTATCACACTGCCAGGGTTAGACTGGCTATCAGGGAAGAAATTTTCCCCACGAGGATATTGAGGCACTGGCACAGGATGCCCAGAGAAGCTGTGGCTGCCTCATCCCTAGAGGTGTTGTAGGCCAGGTTGGATGGGGCTTGGAGTAATCTGGTGTAGTGGAAGGTGTCCCTGCCCACAGCAGGGGGTGGGACTGGATAATCCTTAAGGTCCTTTCCCAACCCAAACCCTTCCATGACTCTTACACTCCCCACAGCACTGCTAGCACAGAGCTGCCCTAACACAGCAGAGCACCACGAGGCTGCAGGAAGCTGAGGAATCCTCCCTCAGCTAGGCAAGTGGGCTGCCAAGGAAGTTTCCCATCCTTGTCCCAGGAGCAGCACTCACTCAGTCACTCACCTTTTTCCGGAAGATAGGCTTTGTCTGGCCCCCATAGCCACTCTGCTTCCTGTCATAGCGCCTCTTTCCTGCAGGGAGAAATGCCTCTGTTCGGGCAACAGCTCAAAGAATGCTGCAAGCCCAGCTGGCACATCCCACAGCCCAGCAGAGCTCAGCCTGCCCCTGCACAACCCACCACAACCAACACCTCAGCCCACAGCCTCCCCATCCTGCTGCCCCAGCAGTGGGACCTTTCCCCCTCTGCGCAAAGCCAACACGCACACGGGAGGAAGGACTTGACTGATGCAGAGTTCTGTGCTGGGTGGTAAATCCACAATGCCAGGCCGAAGATAAGAGCATATTTATACAGTATAATTAATGCCCACCGCGAGTGGCTGAGCTGCTGCTGGCTTCACTGTCACCTCGACCCAACGCACCCTGAACTCACAGCCCGTGCTCAGGGCCCTTCCAAGTCGTGCTTTTCAAACTATAACGAGTTCACCACTTCCTAAGTCAGCTAAACGTTTCTATACCGAAACCGGTTTGGGCTGACATTAGTCCTTTTCCCTTTGCTTGTTGTTTTAGTTCCCCTCCACAGCTCAGGCCGTTCTCTTCCCCATACCCCTGTCCCTACCCTGCGCGTAGAGCGAGTCCTTCCCCTTCTTGTACTGCGTCACTTTGTGCGGCTGGTGCTTCCCGCACTTCTTGCAGTAGGTCCGGCGGGTTTTCGGCACGTTCACCTGCGGGGACGGGGAC